ATGGTCAAAGGAAATAAAAAGGAAATGTAAGTAGTCCAAGAATATATGAAAAAATGCTCAATGGTTTTGCTTAGTTGGAACTTTAGGAAATCTCTATTACTTCTTGGGTTACCGAAGAACAAACTTTTAAAGGACTAGACACTAATTTCTTAGTAACTGGCCATCACAAGAAAAAATCTTGTGTTGTTTCTACCCCCATCCCCCACAGAATAAAGTCAATGAGGACTGTGATTAACAAATATCTGATGCCTGTGACTTTTTAAGTGCAAGAACTCCATTAGATTTTATTTCTATTACATCAGTTATCTAGGGAAATGCTACATATACTAACTATGCATAAAATGCCATATTGCCTAACTTAGCTTGTGTTGTTGAGCAATTCTGTTAATCTCTAGTCTTACATTTTTCATCTGCATCTCAGAGGGCTGGGCCAATTGCTGTTAGAATCTATTTCTTTAGCTAGTAGTCTAACTTTGTTTTGTTTGCCTTTTTGTACACCTGTGAGATGTAAGTTATTTAAGACAGTGAAGCTTAAATGAAATATTCTATCTGCACCATTATAATGAGAAAGAAATAAAAGGTTTTATCTTTGCAAATCTACTTATGGAATGTGTTTTGTAATATATTTACTTTTTCAAGCCACCAAAAGGCAACAGGAAATAAAATGAAAATATATTCCTTCTGAGAAATCCCTCCTGCCTGTATTTGACTGGCTTCAGAATACCTGCTTTGGGTGTGGCATACGCAGTAATGCTTTTGCTGGTAACAGCTACTGGCCGGCAGGTCTTACCAGGTGCAAATAGAGGTAGCCTAGCTCCCAAGGACAACACCAACAACAAAAGATGGTGTATCCTCTGTATAGCCTTCTCTTCCAGGTTTTCATAAACACCTAACGTGGAATTCACCAGGACAGTGGAAGGCATTTCCTGAGAGCATTCACAGGTCCATTCATGCTGCTACCCCCCCTCTGAAAAGCATCATGTAAAATATACTAATTTAGGAGGCAAAGAATCAGCTAACATTGTTTTATTTTAAAGAAGTTGGCCTCTGTTTAATGATGTCCACACACACTTACCTCCATTCATAAAGCCTTAAAGGAGATCTACCACACAGCTCAAAACCTGGTCTACAAACATCCATATTTTCCATTCTCTCCTTATTTTCTTCTGGCAGTCTGACAACATCTTTACTGGAAATCTGGACGAGCCACTAGTGTTTACTCCCCTACTTCACTCAAATCCTTCACTCTCTGCAGTTCTATTCCTGTCAGAACCTTAGGCAGTTCCCTGTCAGTACTCTCTTGTGAACCCCATCACTCAAGTGATCTCAAGGCTAAGGGACAGACATTAGCTCCACCTCAAGGGTCAGCTTACTTGCCTGGTATAGGAGGGTTTTCTGTGCAGACAGTTGTAGTTCATTCCATTCAGAGACAAATCCAGCTCTGTACTTACTAATTATTATTACAATGAAAATCTCTCAGGCATTTTCCAGCATTTGCTAAAATCCATGCTCATGGAGAATGGGCAGAAGCATGTTAAATCACTTGACAGCAACACCTATGTTTAATAACAATACATATTTATTATGCACCTACTACAGGAGTAGAACTATCTGGGCACTGGAGAAACAGCAAGAAAACTCTAACCCCTCCTTCATGGAGCTAGTCTGGAAAAATAGGGAACAAGGTTCAGGACATATCAAATGGAGCCTCAGTTGGGTGAACTCCAAACAAGCTAAGGAAATCAACAAGAATACTGTCAATGATATTAAAGATGGTTTGACGATTCCCAGGTATAGAAATTTCACTGATAGGAGGAAAGTTCAAATAAATCCCCAATCGTTGAATCTAATCTAGTACCTATGACTAGGAAACCAAACACAAGCCATATTTTTTCCCTGTCAAATTTTCTCATCAAAACAAAACAAAACAAAACAAAACAAAACAAACAAAACAAAACAAAACAAAACCTTACTTCCAAGCCTAGAAATAGCGGGAAAGTTTTTTTTCCAACTTTACCAAGATATAATTGACATAGAACATGGTGTACAGATGGCTGTAGAGAATAGATTCTCTGTTTTCACAAATAAGTGCCAACATTGAGCTACAGAACATTTCTGTTATATCACACTTTTACAACTGTAATAATGAAGGCAAATGATAATTCCCCCTTATTGAGTTTCCTATTTGTTGCCTTAATTATACTTCCTTCAAGTAAGTGTCCTCATGGAGTGTCTGTATTTAATAATCTAAGATTCTCAGGTCTTTATTTTATACATCCCACCCACACTTAATGTCTTACGTGCTCAGCTAAGAATCCAAACATTGTGTTGGTCTGAGAGGAAGAGGAAACTCCATGATGTGCTCAATCCTGAAAGTCGTCAGTACATCTCAGATGCGGAACTGTTTAAATACATATAAAGTTTGTCATTCCAGAAGTTGCATTTGAGGTTTGTACTGAGAGTTTCCATTTCCTCACCATCCTCCCATTCCTTAACACTCTCTGATAGTTTCTATCACCATTCTATGAACAAAGTAGATGTTGTTATATGAGTTGGGTTATTAAAATTTTTTCTTTACCTGACTCCAAATGTAACCTGGGTCAATATAGAAAACAAAAAATTAAATATGCACAATCCTATCAACTATTAGTTATTTTTTGTATATTTCCCACTAATCTCTTTTTGTGCATATCAATAAACTACTTTTGTTTTATAAAAGGAATACAAAAAGGACATACTGATTTGGAATCTGCTTTTTCCACTTACGAATAGGAGTTTCTCACACTGATATTTTTTTACACTTCTTACTTCATGCTTAGAATCCCATCCCATAAGCCACCTAGAAAAAATTCCTTATACTTCTGTTAGACATTTAAGAGCTTATATTTCCCCCCAAAATTATATATCTTTGCTCATAGATCTGATGATCTCCGTGGGAGGAACGCTAAATGGAACTCCTGCTTTAAAAGTCATGTCCATTTAAAAACTTCAAAAACACACAAAAAAATATGTTAAAAACTAAACTTTTGTGGGGGCTGGTCCCGCCAATGTTTACGCACATTGTTTGATGTTTTTATTCTTTGCAACTACAGTAATAGAAGAAAATGTCAACTCTTTTTGTTTGTTCTTTTAACTCCGGTCATGTTAGCTTTTTTTGTTCGATTAATCATACAGGTTTATTCACAATTCTACAAATAAATGTTACTCATGCTGATATTTCTAGCACCGAGTGGCTGTTTCATCGGAAAAATTCTCCCTATTATTTTTTTAAATTTTATCTTTGCTTGTTGAAAATATTACGAATGTTACCCCCCCACCCCGACTGCTTCCGCCCACTCCCCGCCCCAGGCCTTCCGCACACTATTGTCTGCGTCCCCGGGACAATACGTCATTTATCACTTCCAAGAATTCCGCATTAATACACCCTTGTCCTGACCTTTTTCATTCTCGTATATTTCCTCTTCAATACATTTAGTCGCTCAAGGGAAGGCCCCATACGCGTATTACCAGGTATTAGTTTACCTCCCCAGGGGTCCCCTCGGGGCAGAGTCCTGTACTCTGGGGTCGGGCGCAGTGGCCAAACCGCCCTGGCGCTTCTGAAGCCTAGCAGGCCTGCGGCCGCGGGACCCTCAGGCCCTGTCCCTAGTGATGCCTGCCTGCTGCCAAGTGTTGGGCGAGGGCCCTGGCACCACCGACCGTCTGGAGGCTCCAGGACAAAAGGAGCCCTGAGGGGCGCTGGCCCCAGGCGACCCAGTGTCGGGCTCGGGCGTCTCTTTCCGGGTCGGTGCGCTTTCCTCTTCCGGCCAGGGTTCCGGGGAGGCGCGACGGTGACCGCGGCAGCCCTCGTTTCCTCTCCGCCCTTCCCGAGTCGGGGGCAGCTGCCCGCTTNTGCTCACATCTCTGATGATTTCTTTGGGATAAACTCTAATGGGAAATGGTGGTTTAAAAGTCACGTCCACTTAAAAACTTTTAACCTAATGTAAAAAATTTACATTACAAACTAAAAATCTGAGGATGCTGCTACTCACAAAATGTTTCCTCGCAATTTTGACATTCTGATTCTTTGCCAACTAAGCAACAAAACGCCAGCTCCTTTCGTATGCTCTTTAATAGCCCTCACGTTCCTTTTCAAAATTTACTTACAACCTCACAACTCTACAAATGACTGTTGCTCACGCTCAGGGTCCCGGAATGGAGCTTGTTCCACCACAGAAGTTCCCCCTCTCGTCAGCTCTCACCCCCCAGCGCAGCATGAATCGCACCCAGAGCTCGGCACCTGATACACCCCCTCCTGACCTCTTCCAGCATGTGTATTTCATCTTCAACACACTTTGTTCCTAAAGGGGCAAGGGGCCCCTAGGTTGCGCCCCAGATGCTTAACGGCAGTGTTTCACGAGCTTACCTCCCCAGGGGTCCCCTCGGGGCAGAGTCCTGTACTCTGGGGTCGGGCGCAGTGGCCAAACCGCCCTGGCGCTTCTGAAGCCTAGCAGGCCTGCGGCCGCGGGACCCTCAGGCCCTGTCCCTAGTGATGCCTGCCTGCTGCCAAGTGTTGGGCGAGGGCCCTGGCACCACCGACCGTCTGGAGGCTCCAGGACAAAAGGAGCCCTGAGGGGCGCTGGCCCCAGGCGACCCAGTGTCGGGCTCGGGCGTCTCTTTCCGGGTCGGTGCGCTTTCCTCTTCCGGCCAGGGTTCCGGGGAGGCGCGACGGTGACCGCGGCAGCCCTCGTTCCCTCTCCGCCCTTCCCGAGTCGGGGGCAGCTGCCCGCTTCCGGACGCGGCGAGGGCCGCCCTTTCCAGCAAACCTAGGCCGCGCCGCCCCGCCCCGGAAGGGCGGAAGGGTGGCGGGAACGGCGGAGCGCAACTGCCCTCTGACGCCCGCGGGTGGGACCCGGGCCAGCCCACGCCCCGTCCCTCCCGCCCTAAGGCTCCGCCCCAAGGCTCCGCCCCGCGCGCCCAGGCCCAGCCCTGTTTGAGAGTAGGCAGGCCCGCCCATTTGCAGCTCAGCCTCAAATTCAGTTCCTTTTCGGGCCGGTAGCGGCCCCGGAAGCTGTGAGAAGTTCCCCGGCGCTCGGGATCCTCGCTGATGTTCCGGAAGATGAGGGCGGCTTTCGGTCCTCGGGCGGCCGCGCCGCGCCGCCTCGAGAGTCTCTTTCCTCCTCGGTGCTTCGCAGGGATCCTCTCGGTGGCCCTGGTGCTCCTGTTACCCTCACTGACCGGTAGGGGCCTGGAGGCGCTGTGAGCTCCCCGAGCGGGCTGGGGAGCCTGCAGACCCGATCCGAGGACCCGGGGAGGGTGGCTTGGTGGGCGGGGTAGGACGCCCGGAACCTGGGGGGCCCGGCAGGTGCGGCGTTGGGTGACGGCGTGGCCAGAGCTTCCGGGGTTGCGCTGTGCGCGGGTCCAGGGGAGTGGGGACCCTGAAGTGCCAGCGGTGAGGGTGCTTGGTGGTCGGCACTGAGCCTTGCGGGGCGCCGGGCGCGGCGGGTGTTTGGGGACTGAAGGTGAGGGCGCGCCCTGCTGCGCCCTCTGCGCCCGGATGTTGCCGCGGTCGGCGCGGTGCCCCTGGGGAGGCTTCGCTGCGTTTTCTGGGTGGGGTGATGCCTTGGTGAGTGGGGGTTGGTGCCCCAGGGCGTCGGGCTGGACGTTATCGTGTGTGCTTTACGGAAGTAGCCGGGGCAGCCCCGCCGAGTGCGGGGCGGGGGAGCGGGCT